AGACATTTACTCTATTTTCTATTATAGTATTTTTTTAATTCTTTTTAAAATTTGGGATAGACCTGTTAACTGGATTTCATAATCCACTAACAGGTTACAAGCTGAAGATTTAAAAACACCAGCCTCGGGGCTGGAAGGTGGCTCAGCAGTAGAGTGCATGCCTTGCAAGCATGAGGCCGTGGGTTCGATTCCTCAGCACCACATAAACAGAAAAAGCTGGAAGTGGCGCTGTGGCTCCAGTGGTAGAGCACTAGCCTTGAGCCGAAGAGCTGAGGGACAGCACCCAGACCCAGAATTCAGGCCCCACGACCGGCAAAGAAAAAAAAAAACACCAGCCTCAACAACAATATGTACTATGATTAAGTTCCATTGTGAATATAAATTAATATTTAGACTCAGTGCAAAATCTTCTACAAGACACATTGTACCAATTGAACCCGAGACAGTTATTGTGTCTTAATTCCATGAGGGTATAATTATAAATGAAGAACAAATGTTCCTTTTTCTTTTTTAAAGTATAGGGCGTTTTATGAGATTTATACTTGAGCATTAGGGAAATATATTTCAAAGAGAATAAATCAAGGCTGTCATATTATTTCTCGAATCCCAGGATTCTACAACGGGCTAGGCTTTCTCAATGTTAAGTCTTAACGTTGGCACTGAGGAAGGGACTGGGCAGTGAGCCCTGGGCATGCTCACACCCTTGGTGACCAATGAGAAGGCTTTCCTCCTCTATAAAAACCGAGCCTATGTCTCCATCAGGAGATGGTGAGCCAGTGCCTGGATGTCTCATTCTTAGGTTATAAGCAGCCACACCCAGAGAGACAGGTGACTTTAAGAGGAACTGGGAGAGCTCAAAACTCTGCTCTCTCTCAGCCAGGGTGACAAGCAATGTGAGCTTTGATTTTTATTTTTCTAAGTAAATGTACTTGAAACATGTTAAAGTTTGGTCTAAGTTTTAACAATGCAGCCTATTCTTGTGGAGTAAGAGAAGACAATTACCATCATTGCTGGGGTGCGTGCTACAGAGCTCAGTGCCACACACTCCCTCCTCTTGTGAGAGTTCAGTCAGCTGGAAACTGCTCCAGGAGGTTTTCCAGATGTTGTGTCTGCTGCTGGGGTAGACAAGTGAGGGCCAAGTGGAGAAGTAGCTCCAGACTCCAGGCTCTTCCCCAGTACTTCACATCCTGGTTCTTCCTAACAGGAGCCTTTGCTTGTTTTCATGGTCTAACATGTAAAAATACTCTGTGCTTCTTTTTCAACTACCAGCCCAGTACCTTAACAAGATGTATTGTTTATCAAATGCTACTCTGTAGTGTGTATGTGTGTAGGAGGGAGGGAGAGAGATCTTAAATGATAGATGAAAGATGTATCCTATTTCTGTATTATCCACCATTAGAGAAAGTAAGATCTGTGTGTGTGTGTGTGTGTGTGCGTGTGCGCGCGCACATGCGTGTACACCAGTCCTGGGGCTTGAACTCAGGGTTTGGGAGCTATCACTGAGATTTTTTTGGCTCAAGGCTAGTGATCCACCATTGGAGTCATCGCTCCATTTCCCACTTTTTGGCGAACTAATTGGAGAAAAGAGACTTCATGGACTTTCCTGCCCAGGCTGGCTTTGAACAGCAATCTTCAGCTGTCAGTCTCCTGAGTATTTAGGATTACAGGTGTGATCCACTGGCACCTGATTTGGACAAGGTAACTTTTGAATATGATCACCTCGTTATTAGAAAAGCCCTGTTTAAATTTCAACTAATATGTTGTCAAAATCCATGCTTTTTCTTTATTCATTTCATCTGCCTCAACGTACTTTTCCAAAGAGCTTTCCTATTCACTATTATTAATAAACTATTTATGGAGATGTGTTAGGTTTACAAGACAAGCAGTAAGCTGTTTCCCCTACTTGCTCACCTCTCAGTCTCCTACTTTCCTTATTACTGACACCTGGCATTGGTATAATCCATTTGTTACAATTGATGAACCCACACTGATATGGAGTGAACAAAAAGCACATATTCTTTTCTTGGTATTATGTGTGTTTTGCCAAATACATGCCAATGTGAGTCCATTATTACAGTATCATAAGAGTAGTTTTACTGCCCCCCCAAACTCCCATATGCACACGCATGTGTGTGTGTGTGTGTGTGTGTGTGTCCTGGGGTGTGAACTGAGTCCTGGACACTATCCCTAAGCTTTATTCCTCAGGGCTGGTGTTCTAGCTTTTTGATAATTAGCTGGAGATCATAGTCACATGGACTTTCCTGCCCAGGCTGGCTTTGAACCATGATTCTTAGATCTCGGCCTCCTCAGTTGTCAGGATTATAGGGAAGAGTATATAAAATTAGCTAGAGTATATATAAAATTAGTGTATATAAAATTAGTAGTATTTATTTCATTCCTCCATGTCTTTCTATGGCTTTGTAGTCCATTTCTCTTCAATGCTGAATAATACCCCATTGTATGATAAACCATGGTTTCTTTATCCATTTACCTACTAAGGAGTACCTTGGCGGTGCCTAGTTTGGGCAATGATACTGGATACTGCAAATATTTGTGTACTGAGTCCTGTATAAACACAAGTTTTTCAGGGGACATATGGTCGGACAGCCTAAGTTCAACTTTGAAAGAAGCTTCCAGAGTGGCTTTGTCATTTTTCCATTTGCCCCCACTACTCATGACTGAGCCCTTCACGGATCTACAACCTTGCTATATTTGGAGCTGTCAGCACTTTGGATCTGGGCCTTTCTAAGAGAATTTTAGTAGTATCTCACTGGCGTTCCTACTAATGCACGACATTGAGAATCTTTCCATGTGCTTGTTTGCTCTGTGTGTCTTTCTTGATGAGGTAGCTATTCAAATCTCTTGCCCAATTTTTAATTGGTTTTCTCTATTGGTCTCATTGTATATTCTATACCGATAGTGTGGATTAGAGCAATGGCATATAGTATTATAGGATGCTATATATTATAATACTATAATACAATGTGTTCTTCTTAAGTTGAGCTCTAAGAACTCATTGTACATTTCGTTTGTCTGATTTAGTGTACTGGAACCCTCCCACCAGACAGCACAGCAGGGCCTCTCAGTGCCCTAGCTCTGCTCTGGGGCACTGCACTTGGCTCCCACACTGCCATATGAACAACCCACTCTTAATCCTGTCAGGACTCTACCCAGACCAGTGCTCCCTCCTGTAGGGAGCACTCCTCCTTGGTATTCCTCCAGCACCCAGCCTCTCCCTGACTGGCATCCCAGAATGCATTGGGATCTCACATACTATTTTCCTTAACCTGACACATTTGTCATCATAGGAATAGCAAATTAACCTCACTTGTAAATTAAGGAGGGATCGATTAGTTCACCTAATAATAGTCATTGTTGAATTCTCTAAACAATCTATCATCGCATCTTAAACCTAATCGGAAAGGACTGTGACTCAGAAATGGACAATAAACTGATGTCGTCAAACAGACTGTAAACTAACAACATTGGGAAGATAACAAACTTAGAGAAAGTGTGAGGCAAGACTAAGTCAGTATGTCTTTTAGAACACTCATGTCTTAAAGTTTCTAGTCTTGAGGTAGGCACAGTGGTACACACCTGTAATCCCAGAATTTAGAAATCTGCAACAGGAAGATAGCATGTTTGAGGCCAACCTGTCTTGGAAAGCAAAAGAAAAGGAAGGAAAGGAGAGGGGAGAGTTAAAGACTGAGCAATGAGGCAGAAAAGAGGGGAGAGGGGAGGGAAGGAAGGTTCTGAGTAACTACTTTCATGTCATTCTTGCCTTTTAATATTGTTACATGACATATGCACTAAATATTAATATTACTTATATATCCACATTAATATATCACTAAATTTATTACATATGATGTCTCAGTATTACATTATTAGAAATAAGATAATATCTCCTAATGAAATTATATGAACAGCAGTACTGTGGTACTTTGATTACCTGAGAAACCTCAGCATAGACATAAAAGTTAAAGGTAACGTCGATTTCTTTGATTTCCTTTTGCTTCAAGTGGCTTTTATATCATTGTGTCTGCCAGGACAGGACTATCTTCACACAGACTTTAACTGAGGCCATTAGTAGAGATCAAGTTTATTATTTAGTTGGTATGACATTTATTAAGTATTTAAAAATAAAAACCAAATCAAATCACTTAGAAGGCTCATAGCCAAAAACAATTGTTCCCTGCTGTGTTCTTTCTTGTGCCATCTTTAACCATTTGCAATTTTTATTTTCTTGGCAGCTGTCTTCATCTCTAAATAATCTGTTTTGGTGCTAATACATTCAATGTGTTAATTTAACACCTCTTGTTTCTTTTGCCTATTATCTTTAAACAGTTGTGCAAAGGAGTTGCCATCCAACAAAGCAGTTTATGAATACAAAGCATCTTAATCAATGTCATCCCTTTCAACATTCTCATCCATCCCTCCCAGCCCGCCCCTTCCCTCCCTTTTCTTAATTTTTTTAAGGCTATACGTTGCATTCTTGACTGAATTCTGGACTGCATTCTCCACCCCTTGTCCTCTTCATTCATTTACCCACCTTTTATTTTCTTACAACATTCTACTTTGGAGACAAAACAAAGCAAAGGATATCTGATGATTATAATGTGTGTGTGTGTGTATGTGTGTGTGTGTGTGGAGAGAGAGAGAGATGGATGGATAGATAGATAGGTGAGGAGGGGTCAAAGGGAAAGGGCAGAGGAATGAAGAGAAGAAGGGGAAATGGAGGCAAGCATCCAATGTATAGCCTACAACATTAAGAAAAGTGAGGCAAGCGGTGGACAGGGGAGGGACAGGTAAGAATGTTGAAAGGGGTGATATTGATCAAGATATATAGTATTCAGAAAAGGCTTTGTTAAATGGCAATCCCTTTGTACAACTACTTAAAGATAATAGTAGTAATAATAGTAATAATAATAATTGTATTTTAAAAAGAAAGAGAGTCTTCTTGGTACTAGGTGGCTGATGGCTGTCTTGGTTCTCTACAGAATGGATGATGTATTGGTCGGCGCGCCTCTCTACATGGAACGTGAATTGGAGAGTAGCCCTAGGGAAGTAGGCCAAGTTTACCTCTATCTGCAAGTGAGTGCCCTCCTCTTCCAAGATCCTCAGATCCTCACGGGCACGGAGACCTTCGGGAGGTTCGGCACAGCCGTGGCACACTTGGGGGACCTGAACCAAGATGGATTTAATGGTAATACGAATCACATGTGAAAGCCACTTACATCTGTAGTTCATGTGCTGCTGCTTAAATGGAAAAATCAACCATTCAATGTATTTCCAAGGGTGTGGGGTGTACACTTATGATTACTGGCTTTTAATAAACTATGCAAAGTGTCAAGCAAACTGTAAGTTTCTATGTTTTGATTAATGTGGATGTCATAGAGAAATTTCCTCATGTTTGATTTAGAGAGACCTCTAACAGCTCTCAGTGGGGACTGAAGAGAACAAGAGAACATTCTGTGTTTATAGATTTAAGACAAATAAATATATGGCGGTACGTAAGCAAGTATATACTGCCTGGTGATTAGCCCATATGAGTTACAGATTGGTTATGCTCAATTAGTTTTGGTCTGTAAACTTCTAGCTTAAAGGCAATTCCAATGTTTACAATAAAACAGCATTCATTTAGGCCTGTGATTCTGGGAGTTTGGAATTCATGGCTATTCTCTAAGTACCTTCTCAGAACACCACGCATGTTTATACAAAATTTTACATTCATTTCCTGGAACTTGAAGCATCCATGTATTATTTTTTTTCTTGGTTGTTATGTTTATGTTTTTGGGGGAGGTTGTTATTGTTGTTTTGGGTCGTGGGGCTTGAACTCTGGGCCTAAGCGCTGTCCCTCAGCTCTTCAGCTCAAGGCTAGTGCTCTACCACTTGAGCCACAGCACCACTTCCAGTTTTCTGAGTGGTTTATTGGAGATAAGAGTCTCACGGACTTTCCTACCCAGGCTGGTTTTGAACCACAATCCTCAGATCTCAGCCTCCTGAGTAGCTAGGATTATAGTCATGAGCCACCAGTACCCAGCTCTGTTTTTGTTTTTGTGCCACGATTTCAATATACATCCCACACTGACCTCAAACTCAAGGTCTTCTTGACTCAACTTTCCAAGTGCTGGGATAAGAGTATGGCACCACATCTGGCCATTTCTTACTCAAAGTTGAGGGTACATCAGGAGTTTGCTATAACAAAGTAACCAGAGTTATTCATATCAGTTTGGTACTTTTGGCAAGCATTATTATACTTACGATTTCTTTGGGGAAAAAACTCTCAACAGTTAGTCATTTGTAAAATGTCATAAAGCATATAAGTGTGTGTTAAATACTTATGGCTCAAGAGGGATCTTTTTAAGAAAAGAAAAGCTTCTGATTGATTGGTTAGTTGGTTGGTTTGGTGGTGGTAGTAGTGGCTTTATACTTGTTCAGCTTGCTAAGCTCAGCTGGCACTCTACCACCTGAATCATGCCTCCAGCCTGGTTTCTAACTTTTTGCTAGTTCATTGGATATGATGTCTCCTGAACTTTTCTGCCTGGGAACTGGTTTGAAATACAGTTCTCTAGATCTCAGCCTCCTGAGTAGCAAGGATTCTAAGGGTGAGCCACTGGTACTTGGCTGACAAATTCTCGTTAAATGATTTACTGCTTTCCCACATTGCATTTATTCCCTATTATCCAAGCCTGGTTTAATTATCCGAGTTGTCTCTCCCAGAATATTTCCTTCTACATGTCTTGTCAAGCGTTTATGGTGTTTTCAAGAGCAAAGAGAAACATACTATGTTTTTACTTATTTACTTGCTCAATGAAGAGGTTTTGCATGTCTGGCTCAACTTGAATCCACTTAGAATCTGATTCACCTTTGAATGTCTGACTCACAGCTGTGCCCACAGGATAACTCAGCAGCTTCTTGTCAGATGGGTAAAAGACAACAGATAATTCTGTCACTACCATCCTGTGAATGCTCGTGGAAAATGTCACCAGCTCTTTGGGCTTTATGGGAGTGTTCCTTGGTTGTACTGGAGGGTTTTGCAGACATCTTCTTTATTTCACAGTGTGTTCCTGTGTCTCTGTTGGTAGATATTGCCATCGGCGCGCCCTTTGCAGGCAAGGATCAAACAGGCAAAGTGCTCATTTACAATGGCAACCAGAACGGCTTACATGCCAAGCCATCCCAAGTTCTACAAGGAAAATGGACTTCACAGACCATCCCCCCTGCGTTCGTCCCTTCTGGATTCGGCTTTTCGCTGAGAGGAGATGCAGACATAGACAAGAATGATTATCCAGGTAAGGTTTTCTTCTTTCCCTTGGAGAGCCTATCCTCCACCTCATAAAGATGAAGGTCACGTTTACATAGCACAGGGTTTTTCTGTATGATTCTAGAATGAATCCCATGAGCATTTTAAGGAAGACAAAAACATTTCTGAGGGAGGGAAGGGATAACAGTGTCCAAAGGAAATGTATTCTTGCCAGGGCCGGTGGCTCATGCCTGTAATCCTAGCTACTCAGGAGGCTGAGATCTGAAGATCACAGTTCGAAGCCAGTCCAGGCAAGAAAGTCCATGAGACTCTTATCTCCAATTAACCACCAGAAAACCAAAAGTGGCGCTGTAGCTTAAAGTGACAGAGCACTAGTCTTGAGCACAAAAGCTCAAGGACAGCACTCAGGTCTTGAATTCAAACCCCATGACTGACAAAAGAAAAATGACTTACATAACTGTAACCCCTCTGTACATCACCTTTATAATAACAATTTTAATTTTTTAAAAAAACAAACATTTCCCTTTCCAATTAAGCTGCATTAGAGAAAAAGTTGGTCAATTTTCCAACCCAGGTTTTCCTTTGACAATCCCACTCTAATGTAATCCCACTGTAATCCCACCGTGATCTCCATTGGCAAAGCCAGCAGGCAGCAGGCACCTTTCTGAAATAGTCTATTTCAACTTGTATTCATTTTATGCTCCTAAGTCATTCATCAATACATGACCCTCAATATTTGGTGTCGTAAGGCTTATGCTTTTAGAACATAAATATTGTTCCAACCATATTCTGGGGCTTTCCAAAAGTAGATTGTTTTTTTTTTAATTTTTATTTATTTTTTATTGTGAAAATACTGTACAGAGGGGTTACAATTCCATGGGCAAGATAATAGGTACATTTCTTATCAAGCATTGTAGCCTCCTCCTTTGTTTCCCCTTCCCATCCCTTCCCATCCTCCCCTCACCCCCCCACCCAATCCTCCCCGCCCCCCATAAAGTTGTAAAGTTCGTTTTCGACATAACAACTTGTACTTCTCATTGTTGCAACGGGTCCACCTGTATCCTTATTTAAATGACTTGCTTTTCCCCTTCCCCTCCACAAATTATACCGACATGAAATACAGTGAAAGCAGGGGTTATACTGTGGGGGAGGGACATACAAAGCAACAAAGAAATAATCTTATAAATGCGTTAGAAACGATCGCATGAAAGAAAAAAAACATTTGAATACATATCTTAGGGTTCATTTCCCTAACATCACCTTAAGTGACCTTTTCTGCTTGACTCAGACATATACTAGATATTGCAAATAAGGGAAACCATGGGACCTATGTTTCTTTGGGCCTGGTTTACTTCACTTAATATAATTCAAAAATAGATTGTTTTAAGTGATTATTTTTAATTAAAGTAAGATAATAAACTACCCAAGATTGATTGTAGTCTATCTAGATTATTTTAAAGATTATCTATCTTGGATAGATTATTATTACTTTAAAGATCACCTGTTAAAGAAATTGCTCATGAAGAAAATCATAAGCAATTTTTTTTTGTCAGTTGTGGGACTTGAATTCTAGGCCTGGGTGCCATCCCTGAGTTCTTCAGCTCAAAGCCAGCGCTCTACCACTTGAGCCACCATGTCACTTCCGGTTTTCTGGTGGTTAATTGGAAATAAGAGTCTCACGGACTTTCCTGCCTGGGCTTTGAATTGCTATCCTCAGATCTCAGCCTCTTGATTAGCTAGGATTACAGGTGAGCCACCAGCGCCTGGCTAAGCAGTTCTTTAAGAATATTTTTATTATCTTAGGGGTTCCAATTCAAACATAGCATCAAATTGATGAGTACACTACGTTTTCATCAATGCCACCCCTTCCATCATTCTCCCCCATCTGTGCCAACCCTACCCACCCCCTCACGGTATGTGGCTCATAAACTTTTCTTGATTACCCAATTCACACTGAAGGTGCATAGAAATCAATAAAGCGTACATAGATCTATGATCTATGTACCTACGAGATGGTGAATCTGTATTAAAGGATCTGGTTCAATAATCAGAGTTTTTAGCAGAAAACATTAGACTTTTTGGTTTTATGGTTCACTCTTCACTTTTATGTTGGTTATTTTAAGATGGTTCCAATAAAATGCTTAGAAGTCATTAATAGTTAACCACTAGTTGCAACTATTTTTTTTATAACCTTGTCTCTTTCTACTAGCTCCTCCTTAATTGAGAATTTTCCACATGTGTGGTTTTTTTCTGGTGTGGGGCAGCAGTCCAATAAGCTGACTGCCTGAACATACATCATTAATTTCGATCCTCTGGCTTTCTCTTCTCCTTTGGGATCATGCAGAAGGGATAATGCATTTAACATACTTACTCCTCTAAATTTGTCAGAAACTTTTCACAGCACTAACATAGACCTTATACTGGACTCAAAGAGGACTTAGTATCATATTATATTGCATTATATATAATATTGATATTATAATACCAATATTAGGATTATATTGTATACAAATGTTTTCTACCTGTGGCAATTTCTAGAGTATTTGGTTAAGTTTATTTTCTTAAATTATATATATATATATATATGCATATATATATATATATATGATAGTAGGGAGTTGGGGGAGGGAAAGAAAGAAGGTTTCTTGCATAATAGATTCTAATTTTTGCTCCTTCAAAACTCTAGATCCCAGTCAGGTGCCAGTGGTTCATGCCTGTAATCCTAGCTATTCAGGAAGCTGAGATCTGAGGATCACAGTTCAAAGTCAGCCTGGGCAGAAAAGTCCCCATGAGACTCTTATCTCCAATTAACCACTCAAAAACTAGAAGTGGTGATGTGGTTCAAGTGGTAGAGCACTAGCCTTGAGCACAAAGAGGCTTAGGAGCAGCACCCAGACCCTGAGTTCAAGCCCCCTACAATTGACTAAAAAAGAAAATCTAGATTCCTTGTACTATCCCTACCCAAAATATGTCAGAGTGATTCATGAAATTCCACTCCACAATTAGATAAAGAGTTCATGTACTAAGTCATGGCTATTCACAAGGTCTGTTACAGACTTCCTTCCCCAACCCGTAGTACAGGAAGTAAAGGATGTTATCCATCAAGTAGCAAATACATCACCCTACACAAGGACTAAATGAGATAACATGAGAACCATTATTTTTCTCTCAAGGAATAATCCCTCCAGAGAATGGACAACAACAACTAAAAATGACATAGGGCAGGATGAAGAAAGTAAACTAAAGGCTGGGAAGGTGGCTCAGTGGTAGAGCGCTTGCCTTGCATGCACGAGGCCCTGGGTTCGATTCCTCAGCACCACATAAGCAGAAAAAGCAGAAAGCGGTGCTGTGGCTCAAGAGCTAGAGTGCTAGCCTTGAGCTGAAGATCTGAAGGACAATGCCCAGGCCGAGTGTAGGCCCTACAATCAACATACACACACACACACACACACACACACACACACACACACACAGAGGAAGTAAACTAAGTGCAGTTTCAGCAAATGGCACCTCTTCCATGGCTGCTGGTCCTTCTACTACACCCTGTGTTTTAGAGAAACCAGCTTTGGAGCAGTGGTTATAAACATTAGCGGGCATTCCATGTACTGTTAATCCTGTTCATGAAGACCAAATGCCTGGCATCCTTTTGGACGCTTTGATTTACCAGCTCTGGGATAAGCCTCGGGGATTTGAGTTGACCTGACCTTTTACTTTAAGAAACTCAGCTCCTGAGTCTTCGAAGGCTCTGCTCCCATGCCTACAGCAGCCAGGTGTGCATTTATCTCATCTGGCCAGACCTATCATCTAAGCTCTGCCATTTCACTTCTTCCTTCTGGGCTGCTACCAGGTGAAATGTAGGCCTCTTCTGGGAAACATTAAGAAAGTCACATTGAGAAATACCGAGGTGTTCACACACTATTTCCAATTTGTAATGCCACTTGTGTATTTAAAAGGATGTTTCAGAATAAATGTACAACTCCAGGGTGTGACCCACACACACTCAAAGAGACTGTACACAATTCCTCTCTCAGTCCCAGGTCTTTATGGAGGTGAATTGGATAGGCTGTGGGGCAAGGGGTTACATTTCCAAAGAAAGCACGAGCTGCCTTCTGCATTGCATGCGTTTCCTAACATGCATCCATTCTGACTATTCTGTAAAGAAAAATGGAATGAAATGACCCTGGAAAAATAAGACTCACAGTAAGAAATGTGGAAAAACAAAGGGAAAGCAGTACTTTTTAAAATGCAGGTATTAAACAGGATCTTAAAATTGTTTGGCATCATTACGTGCTTTCTCATTTAGCTTCAAGGTCTGAAAAAAAAAAAGCCAAGGAGAACACTTATTCATTGAGTCAAAAAGCCTCTACCATGCACTTGGCATTGTGTTGGGGGTTCAGGTGATGAGAATGAAGAATGTGTCTAGACCTTACAGTCTAGGTAAGAAAGGCAGTGACTCAAATCATTACAGCAAAGAGCAGGTGTGACTTTCATAATTGAATGGAGCTTGCTGTGGGGCCTATGGAGAAGACCTCTATGTAAACCTCATATGATAAAGCAGCAGAGAGCCAAGGAGCATCTGAGGCAGACAGAGGGAACTGGAGCTAGAGGGAGATGCTGTTTTGGGTGGACTCTGTTATAAGAAGAATGAGAAGGTACTTTGGAGGGTTCACTCTGACTTCGGTACAGGTGTATTAGGAGCCTCCTGGTGTAGAGAGGAGCGTTACCTAGACCCTGGTAGTGGCAGTGTAGATATGAGGGAGGGGAGGGTGATAAGTTGTGGGAAGGTGGCATCAACAGGACTGGGTGAGTGTTGCTGGTGTGGTGCAGGAGACGGTGGACTTTTGAATGGCTTCTAGTTTTTTGGTTTTGTTGAATACCTAGACAGAAAATGCTGGAAAGGAAGAGCAGAACTATGGGAAATGATGCTTTTTTGTTCCAGCACTGAGTCTGGGATAACTCTGCCCATTGATAGGTGATGCAGAGCAGTTGGGAGTAGGAGGCTATAAGCAATGAGAAGCATAGATAGCC